CTCTTTTTTCATATTTACATAAAGAGTAAGTAAATCACTATGATGTAAATTTGCTGACAAATTCTTCTTCGTAAAGTGTTCAAAATTTTCCTATAACTTCCTCTGGAATAGTAAGCCATGAGTAGATATTCAGGCGAGAACTAAGACTCAAGTTCTTGCAGGGGTGCATATGTTTGAGACGGTTGCTGAACCTACATTAATTGGCCCCTCAGGGATATACTATTACTTGGATATCCAGTTCTATCTTAACAGGCTTATCGAATCTTTCTGGGACAGAATAAGTGCAGTGTTAAGCCAGGCTCTGAGGAAGGCTCCTATAGCTGAAGGAAATCCTATAGGGTAGATTACAACAGGCTTCCATTAAAAGCCTCTCCCATTTACTGGGTGAAGAGGAGGGTAAGAGGTGGTGCCCATTCCCCATTACAGGAGGTTGGGCCAATTTATGACGTAGTGGCAAGGGATAATTTCTCATGACTCATCACCCTAGTCATTGTCTATCACGAGGTTTCCCCAAGTATGCTCTCAAGAGCACCAACTCTGTGGAATGCCCACAGAAACTGAAACAAAAACAAAACAAAACCCCAAACTGAAATCTTCTATAATCAAATACATTCAGGAAATAATAAACAAGTACAAACTACTTTATCTCATCTAAGAAGGGATACAGCAGGATTCTCTTCCAAATTTATTTGTGTTTTAGAAATTTATTTGATCACAATACTATCTTTTCACTATTTTGAGAAACACACTCTAACCAGATTATCTCTGATTCTTAAAATCCTTGAGCAGCTACAGAGCAAGCTGATCTTTCTAAAAGCCATGCTGATAACTGGAGGCAAGCTCTCCTTACCTACCAATCCACCAGCTCTCAAAGGCTGCTCTGTTATCTCCAATTCCGGGCTGGCTGTTTCTGGATGCTCAAAGAGAAAAGAAATGCCTCGTATTTCTTTCTTCTTCTCTCGTTCTTGAAAAAATTAGAGACAGCTTACATAGTCTTGGCCTCCCCCTGAGTACACTGCCAGGTTATTCAGAAGCATTCCTCAGCACCTTCTGAGTGGCTTTGTAGCGGCATCTCACATTTTAAATAAACAGGGGCTTTCTTACCATTTCTCTAGATCAACTCCTATTTTCTCACTGATTTACATGACAGTTTCAGATGGACTGTCAATATGTACTTGTTCCTAACAAATAAGTCTTAAGCTTCACTGCCTTCTTCCTTCTTTCCTGGAGTCTTCTCTGCCCAGTTTTTAACAATGTATAAATAAACACTTAAACATATGAAAGACAAGCCAACAGGACTCCTTTAGGAATCTTTTTATAAGTTGAAGAGTCCTTTCAAAATGTGAGTGATTCCTCAATAGAACAGACGAGAAAGTCCAGAAATAAACCCAAATACATGTAGGAATTTCGTATATGGTAAAGGTGGTATTGAAATCCATGGGGAAGAGGAAGTTGAATAAATGGTGTTGAGACAGCTAGGTAGAAATTCAGAAAAAAAGTAAGGTTGAAATCTACAACTCACGCCTGACCCAAAATAAATTCCAGATGATCAGAGTTTTAACATGAAAAAGACACACACACAAAAAAGCATTCCTGTGACCTGTTACTTGAGTTGACATAATACGTGTCCTTGTACGCAAGAGGTCACAATGAAATTGTGGAAACTTTGGTAGGAAAAGCAGGATCCAACTCTTCCAGTGAGGCTGGGAAATGGTCAGGCAGAAGAGAGACAAGCAAAAGGATGTTTGATATTTACGTTTTGTCATGACAATAAGGAGATATTATGTTAATCACGTAATCAAGTGTGGCAAATTTGGGGGACAATAGGGGCCCGGATGCAGACTAAAGGGAGAGGTGTTTGGATACATAAAGTGGGACCAGATAGCAGAGGACTTTGAATGCCCAGATGAAGAGTCTACCCTTGGTTCTCTTTTTATTGGGAGACCTCTGGGGGTTTACGAGCTAGGGTGCAGGCTTTCTCAACCTGGGCACTACTGATGTTTTTGGCCAGATAATTCTTTGTCACGGAGGGCTGGCCCTGTGCATCATAGGATGTTTAGCAGCATCCCTGGCCTCTACCTACTAGATGCCAGTAGCATCTCTCTCTTTTCAAATTGACAACCAAAAATGTCTCCAGATATTGCAAATGTTTCCTGGGGAACAAAATTATCACTGATTGAGAACCCCTGGGCTCTAGAATGAGCGAATAATTGGTGTTTAAGAAGGACTGTCCAGCTGCGGTTGTGCAGAATGAAGAGGAGGGCAGCAGGATAGGGGCCCGAGAGAATGTATTAGAGGCTGTTCAGTCCCACCGATATGATATATTGTTACGTAAGGGCCTGCAATAAAGTATACCTCCCTGTATCCGTGACCTTGTACAGTCCCCTCCCATGGTAACTTAGGGCTTGGCCATGTGACTTGCTTTGATCAATGGACTATCAGCAAATATGACACAAAGGGAGGCTTGAAAAGCATTTGTGCATTGGGACTTACCTTCTTGGAACAGTGTCACCCTATGACAAAGCTGGTACTAGCCTCCTGAAGACACATGGTCCAAGTAAGGGCCAGCACCAACTTCCAGACATATAAGTGAGGCCCTCTAAGACCATGCAGCCATAATTAAGCCCCCCGCAACTACATGATCCCAGGAAAGCCAGCAGGAAAACCACCTACCTAAGTCCTCCCCAAGCTGATGATAATGAAATTACGAACAAATAAAATGGTTGCAGGTTTAAATCACTGTTTGTTATGTTGTTACGCAATGATAGATAACCATAATAGTAGGCCTGGAGTAGATTAATATCAGTGGAAATGAGAGGATGTAGACACGAGACATTTGGAATAATCCATATTTCTTGATGACTCTGCAATGAAGGGGTTCAGGGGAAGGGCAAAGCAGGTCAAAGAAGGCAAGAATCTAGAAATGAGTGCAAAGGCCAGAGTGAGTTCAGGAAATGAAGCTGCACTAGCAGTTTGCAAGAACCCACTTTGGCCTAAGCAGTCAAAAATATTAACTCATCTATTTTGAAAAATACAGATATTTATTAATTGCTAACAGTATAATGATTATATATATATGTATATATTTTTTTGTGTGTATGTGAGAAGACTGGCCCTGAGCTAACATCTGTTGCCAGTGTTCCTCTTTTTGCTTCAGGAAGATTGTCCCTGAGTTAACATCTGTCTCAATCCTCCTCCATTTTTTGTGGGATGCTGCCCCAGCGTGTGTGGCTTGACAAGCAGTGTTACGTCCGCGACCCATCAGAATCTGTGGACTCCTGGCCACCGAAGTAGAGCCGGTGAACTCAACCACTATGCCACCGGGTCAGCTCCAACAATACTTTAAATATCCAGTTTAATTTGTAAAGATTCAGTATATTTGTAAAACTTTAAAGGCATTACCAAGCTTTATATGAAATTAAATTTTACTTTATATGAAACATCAATCTTTAGAATAAACAGGAAAGCACATAAACTCAAAATCAATTAACAATTTATACTGAACTAATGATAAAATTCATTTCAATGTATTAGCTGTCCACTTGCATAGAACTGTATTCACTGAGCAATTAGATTGCAAAACCAAGGCTTCTAATGGAATGCCTCTCATAATTTACCAGTTAAGTCCACAGATGGTGATTATCAGTTCCATTTACAGCTTGATAGATGCTGTGAGTGTTGACGGTGTTTATTCTGCTATTCATGGAGAAACAGTTCCTCAGACTTTCAGCGCTTAGCTCTCTGTTTACGAACTCTAGCCTGAGGGAATGGGCCAGTCAAATCTCCTACTTTATTTTTCATCATATTAAAAAATCAAAGTAATAAGCAATAAAGAGAATCCAGAACAAGACAAAATGGAAATACAGTCATAACTAAAAGAAATGACAGTAAATTAAAGAAAGCCTAAAAAGTGGAGGGAATGGATAACGTGAATAAAGTAAACATAACTCAAACGCATTTCATAGGCTGTAAGAATCACGGAAGGGAACATACGTCCGTAAGTCAAACGACAGAATGAGGGTCTCTCGGAAATGGAAGGACAGGATTTAAAAAAAAGTTCAAATGGATGAACTTGAAAGATGATGTACCCATAAGCAGTATTAAAGAAACAATAGCATTGTTGAAATAAGTGTTAAAGACCAAAGGGTAACATACATTTGGATATGTAATTTCCATAAGATTGGTTCGAAGAAAAAAAAAATCTACCCCAGTCTTTGCTTAAATATTGTCATCTGCCAAAGATTTTGGTTATTACCTTTCTCAGGTTGAGGAGACAAGGACTGAAAAAAATTAGTTGGATGTGGAGATCTGGAAGATCTATGTGATTTCTAACGTGTCAACTATTTGGACCTTCATGTTGGCCGGACAGGCGTTCAGGAAAGCCAGGAAAATCAGAGATTGGGGCCTTGTGGTAAATCTCGTACTTTGACTTGTAAGGATATTTGTACCTACAGAAGTTTACCAATTTTCCCGAATTAGAAGAAAATAAAGTACACATAACGTCAACGAATTTGGGATCCTACCCCCACCTTCCTTTTCTCTTTCTGCTAGTCAGCTTCCCGCCCTCAGGCCAGCTCTTGGCTTTACCGAGCAAACAGTGTTTACGCCGAAGGGCCCTGCAAGGCTCCTACCGCACCCCCAGTTCGGGCCGGGTCCCCAACTCCAAGACCCCGAGCCAGGCTCGGGCCAGGGCCCTGCACGGGAAGCACAGGCGGGCTCCCGGAGGCGTGGGAACGGGCGCCGCGAGCTCCTCCTCCCGGGCTGGGCGGCGCCGGGCCCGCGGGAAGGTGGCGAGGGCGGCCGTGCCGGGCGCTCAGCGGCGGGCGAGCGGGCGGGCACTGCGGGGAGGGCGCGGAGTCGGGGCGCGCTCACACCACTTCGGGGCCGGGAGCGCGCCGCCCCCACCCCGCCCAGGCGCCTGGCCCCGCCCGGGCATTCCCGCAAGTCGTCGAACCAGCCTGACTGGCCCAACTCACCGCGGATCCCGGCGGCAGCAGGTGGCCCCGGACGTGCCGCTGTCGCCGCAGCCAGGACGGGCAGCGCGCCCCATCGCGCCCTGGAGCCCTCTGGGCCGCCCCCGCCGCGCTGGATGGAGGCGGACGGGGACCGCGAGGAGCTGGCCCGGCTGCGCTCGCTCTTCGCTGCCTGCGACGCGAACCGCTCGGGGCGCCTGGAGCGCGAGGAGTTCGGCGCGCTGTGCGCGGAGCTGCGCGTGCGGCCGGCCGACGCCGAGGCCGTGTTCCAGCGGCTCGACGCCGACCGCGACGGCACCATCACCTTCCAGGAGTTCGCGCGCGGCTTCCGCGGGGCCCTCCGCGCTGGGCGGAGCGGGGGCTGGGGGTCCCCGGAGCCCGCGTCCGCCGCGGCCCGGGCTGGGCTCGACCCCGGGGACAGCGTGGAGGACGAGGGCGACGAGGACGCGGCGGAGGTGCTGGCCGCCCCCTGGGGCCCGGCGAGCCCTGGCCTGGCTTGGCAGGACTTCCAGGCGCGACTCGGGGACGAGGCCAAGTTCATCCCCAGGTGCGTGTGTGAGTTGGAGGGCGGGAGGTGATGAGGGTGTTTCTTGTCCTCCCGGGTGCGCTGCCATCTCTCCCTCTGACACTGTGGAGTATGCAGACCCACTGGACCCTGCTCTACTCTGCGAGTTGCCTTTCCCCATTCCGTGACTCACTTTAACTTTTCTGAGACGAGATCTCCTAGAGTTAAGGAAAGGGATTGCGGTCAGAGTCAGGATTTGGGGAGAAAGTTTCTCTTGCTCATTTCTGAGTCCTGCACCTGGCACTTTGTTAATTACACGTGGCCACAGTGAAATCCGCAGTGCCCTGAGAGTCTCACGGGACACCGCTTTAGGAGCGCTCAGCACATCTCAAGGCGGCCTGCTGACGTCACCTATTCAAGGCTTCCGGGCTACACTCCAGAGCCAAGGCCCGGAGCGGTGACCTGGACTGTTTGCCAGTTTGGCATCCTCTATAGTAATTTTGCATGTGTTTTCCTACGACTAAGGGGAAAAAGAGACATTGTTGGGCATTTATATTGCTGGACACATACACGAATTCGTTGATGCCTGCTGTGTGTTTCACAGCGTTCATTTTTTTAATTTTCTTAGTAGCCTTGGGGGTTGACTTTTTTATGTCAGATTGATGGAGAAACTTAGCCCAGAAATTTAGACCTAAAGACGTTAAGGGACTTGCCCGGTTTATAAAAGAGCAGGGATTTGATCCCAGATGTGAACCGAAAAACTCTCGCTTTTTATATAACACGATAAAATGATAAAATCATACAATAAATTCTCTACTCCTATGATTCCGACAAAATAACATAATATCAAGTTACTAACTTAATTCCCAAGAGGAAAGGGGATGCCTGCAGGTTCAGGGCATGTAGGGAAAGTTACTCCGGTTTTATTCTTGGACGTTAATTTGCATCTCTCCATGCCTTGGTTTCATGGTGTGTCTCCAGCTGCTACTTGTGCTTTTTCCTCAGGCTCTACAAACCTGTTAATGCTGTAAAATGTTTTTCTCCTCCTTGTTTGAAATTTTATGGAGCTCTGGCTGTCATTATGAAGATCTGAAAGGCATCATTTTGGTTGGCAGTTTACATTTGAGACATGAGACTCAGAAAACAACATAGCCCTGGGAGGCATCAGTGGCCTGCCTCACCCCTTCACAGCTTGGACCTGAGGGCTGGGAGGCCTCACTTCCTCCTCCGCCCAGCTTCTCCCTCCAGTTTGGAAAGTGTGGGGAACACTGGGCATGGAGAGTGACTCACTGCCATTTAAGAGGGATTGTGTAGAGAAAGTGGGTGTGATACTCACCTTTTCTAGTGTTTACAAATGAGTTAAAATGGAATGTCTCCACCAGGGAAGTAGAAAAATTTAAACGTTGCTGTAAACAATTCTTTGAATCATCTTTCATGTGTAACTTGGTTTGGGTCCAGCTAATTAGAAAAGGTAACAATTTTAGGAATAAGGAAAGGTGAGCCCACACCATATTTTTTACACACACACACACACACAGATCTGCTTTTCACAGTTGTCAAGTCTCAGCAGCAAATATTTGACACTTAACCTTTAAAGGATTAAAACGACCTTAGGATCAGCATAAAAACCGGCACTTAATATTATCAGTGACAATGTTATTATCACGATGCCTTTCCAAACTCAGGTTATTAAATTTAATGGGCCCCAGTGTCACCTGGTAGACTTGTGTTCTAAGCCCCACCTCCTTCTTATGTGAGATTAACAAGTACAATATTTGCCTTCCTGTACTTGTTTGAGTGGAAAAGAACTAAACTGAGTTGCTTCGTCTGATTGTTACCATGGCAGCCATTAACTGTTTTGGTAAATTGGATTGATTCTATTCCGCTTCCTCATACAGCTGCTCATCTTCCCTTCCTCTTTTCCAAAAGTGACAAATTTTGTTATTGATAATGCTGTTACTATTATTTCAGCCAAGTTAATTCTGCAAATGTTGTTGAATGCCTGTTTCGTGCCAGACACTATCTCAGGTACTGTCTTAGGTCCTTGGGAAAAAAGAGAAGGATGAGATATAGTTCATGCCCTCAAGAAGTTTGTAGTGTGGGTGAAACAGTTCTCACAGATTTCATCAAAGAACATTTAAAGGCAAGAGGGTTATTTGCAGGAAGCTCCATATATTGTGAGCAGAGCCCAACAGATGGCTGCAAGCCGGAGCTTTCCTTGAAGTCTTGAGTTTTATCTTTAAAAAAATTCATTTATTTGTTTGTTTTACTCCATAATATATTGGGGCTTGTTTTAATACAAAATGTTATATTTTCTTTTAATGGGAAAATTGTTTCTCCGAGAAGATGTGCCATTTCCGCTAGTGGCTTTCTTCCCACCTGGCCCTCCATCTTACCCCTGGTGGCATGCTGTCCCATGCCTATCCCACGGGGTATTCATGTCCTGTAATATAATAATGCAAATAGTGAAAATAATCAATAATACAAATAATGAAAATGGTCTCTGGGATGTGTGTCAAAACTGAGGGACTTCTTCCTTTAAAGGCTGAAAGGGGAGTGTCCTGAGCAGTCTTGTGACCTGTTAACCTGAGCTGAGCAGATGCGAATGGTCTGTAGAGTCAGGATGGGTCGTCGCCACTTCCTAGTAAGCTGGAACGAGGTCAGCCAGCAGGTGAAACTAGAACGGGCAAGGCAATGTGGTTATGTAAGATACTCAGGAAGTAGGATTGTACCAGGCCAAGAAAAGTCCATGAAGTGGGGAGAGAATGTGCGGGGAGAGACAGACAGCAACCTTGTACTAGCCTCGCCTAGCTAATTTCTGGTGCCAGGGGCGTTATCTTGGTGAAAGGGAGCTTTGTACCCAGTAGGTACTCAATAAATGTACTCAGTGTTTACTGAATGAATCGAATGAGCCTGTGTTCTTCAATTCTTTGGTTCATATACTGAGAGTACAGTTAATTCATGCTGTGTGCATTTTCATCACCTCTTTTGTAGGTTCCCTCCCTGCCCGTTTTTTTAAGTTCCTGGTGTGAGCTGGTCATGGTGTTAGGAGATTGGCAAGGAGAGAAGGAAATAGGGGGTGTGTGTGCCTTGAGCATTTGACTGGGCAGGGGGATGGTGGGACTCATCTCTCTTCTCTAGGCAGAGCTGAGGCCTTTCAGAGTTTTCTCAGCTCCATTTGTAGTGATTTTGAGTATCATTTGTGAATTGATTCACTTTGTTAAATTAACTTAGAACCCCACATGCTCACAGACTGAAACATGAGGATCCACCTGGCATTGGAAGCACAATGAATTTGTGGATGGGCGCAGGTTCCTCACAACAGCTGGATCAGGGACAGACCCAGGGTAGGGGCCTGTGATGGAACAGGTGTTTGTCTGATTGGTGACCTGCCACACAGGGCTAGGGTGAGATTGGTTCAGATACCAAAATTGGTCCTGTGCCGTCAGCTGTTTCACATGGTTTGTGACAATTCTACAAGGTCCGTCCAAGGGAAGTCTTTTATTTAATAATTTAGAAACAGGAAATTTAATAAAGAACCCAAGCCACCCACGTGTGAACTGTATACAGATTGTCAAAACAGTTGACTAGAGCATGTCCGTAGGCTATAGTGAGGATTGCTAAAATTGAAAAGGAAAGATGGACAGTTGAACCCCATCCCACTCAACTAGGACACTTTTAAAAACATGTAGCTGCACGCAGGCAGAGCCTGGTTACAGGACTGGTCAGGCTTTCTTTTCCATTTCCCCTTCTTGGGTTCCATGTTAGCCCTTTTCGGTCTGTCTGCTTTCGTGGTAACGTGGTTGCTTCGGAAGCCTGCTTCATGCACCTGATATGGGGCTTGGCAGGAAGGGAAGGGAGGGAACAGAGAGGCAGAGAAAGAGGTAAACTCAGAGAGAGGCCTGGAGACATAGAGTGAGAGGAGGTGAAAGACAAGGATCCAGAGATAGATGGACAGACACTGATTGATTGATTCAATAGTGCCTCAGTTTCCCCTCTCTTCCCACTCAGTGAGTTTATGGCCCTGAGCCAGCTTGAGGGGGAGAGGCAAACCAGTCTGCTTTGTTTGCTCTCAGCTCTTGCGTATCTTCCAAATGTGAGCATCTTGGTGCTTTGGACTCTGTTTGTAGTGTTTGAAGAGGAATATATTGTTTTCACTCATATGGCCAGTAATGTGTGGTGCTCATCGAAGGAGATACAGATTTGTTCCAGCCTTGAGGCAAGATGGTGGGTAGGACCCGAGTCCTGGAGGAGGTTCAAGAGTGTTTGGAGTGTGTGTGATGTTTCCTTCTGCACTGGCTTTGGGACCTACCTGTGCACCAGCCACAGCTTTTCCCGAGATTGTCTGCCTTTTCTGGATTCAGAACTGGGGACTGTATATCTGTTTTCTCGCTATTGCTGGCCTGTTGCCTTTGTTTTTTCACTTTAATGTGTCCTCTGTCTCAATTACGTGTGTCATTACCCTGCTGCTGAGTGGGAGAAACCTGTCTGTTAAGGAAACCACAGTTTTACCTGGAACCTTCCCAGCCTTGCCCCCGGGGCCTGGCCAGAGTCCGTGCATGGCTTAGTTTTTATGGACTGTACTTGCTGGTGGGGTCTCCTTCTGGTTCTGATATTTGAATTTCATCTCAAGGTAGTAATTTCTTTTTGGATTTCTGGTCCCAGAAAGGTATTCTGACCTTCCTGTCCTCAGAGGGCTGTCAGTTTTGGCCTTATGGACAGTGGCCTTCTTTGACCCTCAGATCTCACTGATGGTTCAGAGCTTTGCTCTCAGGTTTTGATGAGAGATTATTTTCTGTCCTTATGGTGTGGGCAGAAAGAAAAAGCCTTAACAGGGGGTGTCATTGGGAAGCCTGCACTCCAGGGACCATAGACTCTTCTGTAGCTTGTCTTGTCACCTAAAATGTTGATTTACTTCTCTTCCAAATCACTGTTCACATTCATGGTCATGCTATGAATTTGCACATATAAAAACCTTTACCTGTTTCCTGATTTCTACATGGTTACATAGTCTTATTTCACTTGTAAAATCAAAGTGGCTG